CCACTGCATGCTTCCCTAGGTTTAGTTGCATTGAGAACTACTTGTTGAGTGTGGTGGGTCAGCTAATCACAAATCTGTCTGGTGGTGACATTGTCTGTCACAAATCTTACCAAGAAGTAGGCCTTGGTCTACTTTGTCAAATGCCTTACTAAAGTCTAAGTAAACTGTGTTTACAGTATTCCTCTGATCCATTAATTTAGTCACTTTATCAAAAACGCTATAAGGTTTGTCTAGCATGATCTATTTTTGACAAACCCAGTTGATTTCTACTAATAGCTTTGCTTGTTTCTAGATTTTTGCAGATCCGTTGTTTTATTATTTTTTTCCAGGATCTTCTCTGGTATTGAAGTGAGGTTGATTGGTCTATAGTTTCCTAGATCCACATTTTTCTCCTTGCAGATTGGAATCATACTAGTTCTTTCCCAATCTTCTGGTGGTTTCCTGGTGCTCCAGGATCTTTGAAAGATATGGTTCAAATACACACATTAAACTTTAAAGTAGGATAACACTGCAGGCTTTACAGTTATTTGCCGCTTTATAAGAAGATCAGGAAGTTGAATGACAAATGAAATCAGTAAAACTTACATAAAATAATGAGAAATCTCCAATACGTGATCTGAAATTTAAAGCTCAGTCTTTGAAATGAAGAAAATAACAGTTAGTTTTACTGTTATGCAGAATGAGATAGATGATGTTTACTTTGTGATCATTTGGTTTTGGATGTCATGAAAGAACTGAAAATTATTTTAAGCTATATTTATTTATAAATTTTTTACTTGTAGGGTGTGACTGTTATGGAAAATTTTGTCTTATATACCAAAATAATTAGGCTCATTTTGATGAAAGTTATGCATTTTGACTTGGGGAATGCCATTTGCTGCTGTGCTTTAAGTACAAATTGATTATAACTAGCCACTAAGAACAAGATCTGTTTTCAAAACCCCTATGGTCACTGAATAGTGTTCCTCTTCTTTTTGTAATGTCTTTAGATATAAATATTGAATAACAAAACTGAACCTCTTGAACTCAGTCAGCTCTTATGTATACTCCCAAGTATACTGTATAATAAGGAGGACTGAAACTGTGCATATAGCAAAGAATAGGCGTCCAGAAAAATGTTTTATATAGAAGTTATGACTGCTATTGGGACCAGAATTTATGTCGGTAGGTGATATAGTCATAAAGTGTAATTGCATCACTTAGTGACAGCAATCCCTGCAGTTCTGGTTGCCTTTGTTAAATAAATCCTATGGTCATTAGGTGAGGCAACTTCCTACTGACTTCTTATATCTAGGTCAGTGGGGAAACCAGCAGGAAATTGCAAGTGTCAGGTACTTGCAAATAAAGTGCCTGCTGCCAGGTAGGGAAAGGCGGAAGGGGGTGCACAGGGCTATGAGAGGTGCAGCAAAACGGGGGGAAGGTACAGAAAGGTACAAGAAGGACATAGCGGGGTTCATAGTGGATGCATTGCAAGAGGCTATGTGAGAATTCTGGGGACTAGTCATGACCACCATTCATTCAGTGCTGTTGAGGACTCTCTGAATGTGGAAGCTGCAGATTGATATAAAACATAATTATAGGGCTGGAAGGGACCTTAGAAGTCTTCTAGTCCAACCACTTGCTGAAGGCTAAACACATTTATAACATTCCAGTTAATTTTTTTCTCCAGTTTATTTTTGAAAACCACTAGTTGATGAAGCACCTACAACTCTGATTCCATTGTTTAACAGTTTAACAGAAAAGATTTCCTACTAGATTCTAGGAAGCTCTTTAACAAGCTTCCATCCATTACTTCTAGTCCTGCCCTCAGCTGCTTTGGAGAATAAGTTGACCCCCTCCTCCACCCCTCCTCCCTGTGACATCCCCTCAAGTATTGGAAGACTGTCCCCTCTAATCCATCTCGTTGACAGGCTAGACCAGTGATGGCTAACCTTTCTGTAAAGATGTGGCAAAATTGTGCTCGTGCTTGCACCCACAATTCATGCGCCCTGCACATGCGCCCCAAGTTCTGGAGGCTTTCCTGAAACCTGGGAAGGGCAAAAACAGCCTCCCCCAGAGGCCCTCCAGAAGCCAGAAACGAATCGTTTCTGAACTTACGGTTAGCCCATTGGGCCTGTTTTTCGCCTTCCTCAGGCTCCGGTGGCTTTCCTGAAGCCTAGGGAGGGCAAAAAACAGGCCCAATGGGCGAAAAGGAAATTTGGGAATGAACTTCTGGTTGACCTGTTGGGTCCTTTTTTCGCCCTACCAAGGTTTTCCTGAACTCTGGGGAGGGTGAAAACGGCCTTCCCTGGCCCTCTGGAACGCTGAAAATCAGCTGACTGTAGGTTTGCCATCACGGGGCTAGACCTACTTAGCTCCCTCAACTGTTCATCATACTCTTTAGTCTCCAACCCTTTATCATCTTTGTTGCTCTTATCTGCATACTTTGTAAGATCTTAGCATCTTTTTTTTTGTATGTAAACAATTTGGGAGATTATTTCCAAGATGATAGTACCAAGCAGAAAAAAAGTGCTATGGTTTAACCTGCTTCTGGAAACCTAATAATACTGTTGCCTTTGGGTAGGACAATTAATTAGTTTCAAAATGTTTATTAGCTATTTGATGATTGATTATCTTCTCTTTCTCCTTAGGTATTATTGTAATGTATGTGACTGCGTAGTGAAAGATTCCATCAACTTCCTTGATCATATCAATGGCAAAAAACGTATGTATAACATGTTTTTCATGTACTATTTTGATACTATTGTTGTTGTTTTGTTGTTATTATTAATCATTGCACAGTCAGCCAGATGTTCAGACTGGGTTTGGCCTTTTTTGTCTACCTGTTAAGTCCTTACCAAGAATCTGGGATAGGCAAATGTGGATGTTTGGTGTTACAGATATCATTGCAAGATGGAAACTGTTCCCAGTAAAGCTGCCTTTTGCAATTGACTGATGGTAAATGTGTCAATGCCAATGGTGTTCAAATGGTCCTCTAGCCAGACTTTTTTATATTTCTTATCGACAATTATTAAGTCTGGGATTTTATGTGACAAGTACTTATCTGCTTGAATTCTAAAGTCCCAGAGCAATTTAACTTCATTTTCTATGACTTTCTCTATTTTATGGTCCCACCAATTCTTCCTTTCAGGCAAGATATTTCTTGCAGATCTTCCAATGCACCATTGTTGCTACTTTGCCACTGCTTGTAGTCAGTCTGCAATATTCTTGAGCAGCTTGCCAGGTGGTCCACTGTTTCTTCATCTTCTTTGCATAGGTGGCACTTACTGTCTGTTGTAGTCTTCTAAATTCTGACTTTGTATTCATTTGTCCTTAAGGCTTGGTCTTGTGCAGCTAGAATTAATTGCTTGATCTATTTCTTCAAAGTTCCTGCTCCTAAAAAAATTACCAATGCTAATGCCCCGTGACCCGACAAATGCACGCATGACAAAAGTGCGCCAACAAAACCGTGGCGCTAAAACCGTGACATCATCAAAACGACATCATCAATGTGGCAACAACAGCGCGCCGACAGAAGCGCGATTTAAGTTAAGGTAAGGGTTAGGGTTAGGATTAGGGTTAGGGTTAGGTTTACAGCGCGCTTCTATCGGCGCGCTTCAGTGCTCATTTGTCGGCGTGCTTTAGAACTTGTGGTTTTGTCACCGTAGTTTAGTCGGGCGCGCTTTTGTCATTCGCCCTTTTGTCGGTGAACCCTAATGCCCTGCTAGTAGAGGAGCTAAATAGCTTCTTCACCTGCTTTGAGGTCAAAAAATCAGTTTCTGTGGCTCTAGCCCAAAGGCCCTCTGACCTCCAGCCATTCACTCTGGATGAACATCAAGTGAGAGCTGAGCTGAAGGCTCTAAATCCCAACAAAGCTGCAGGTCCAGATGGGATGCTGGGGAAAGTGGTAAAAACCTGTGCTGACCAATTAACAGAAGAACTTCAGTGAGCACAGCTTGGGTCAATGGCCAATCCCAGTAGGTTGGACAAGAAGCTCTACTCCATGGAGAGCAATATTGAGCACTTAAAGCTCCCTCTTCTAGATGATCCCATAGTAGCCCTAACCTCCAATTCTGTCCTTCCAGCTGACCTTCTGGGGGACCTTAAGGCAGAGGATAAGAAAGCAGAGAAGGCCTGTCACAAGACCCACCAGGCTATTGCATGGGCCATGAGGGCTTCCTCCTCCTCTTCCTTTTTCAATAGGGCATCCCTCTTCTGGCTGCGTAAATTGCAATCCAAACTGCCAGCAGGCGACATTAGTTTGCGCCAGTATGTCAACAAAATTATTGCAGCAGTCAAATATTCGGCACATGCCTCACTCAATGGCACCAAATTTTCCTCAAGAGCTCTAGCTTCCAACGTTACCTCGCACCGTCTGCTTTGGCTCTGCCACTGGTAGGGGGACATGAAGTCGAAGCGGAAGCTTGCTTCTGCTCCCTTCAAAGGGGGAAAACCCTTTGGGGAGGCCTTGGATTCAGTCTTAATAGAATCCAAGGAGAAACGCAAGGTCTTGCCATCCGTTACCAGGAAGGCTGACTGCAAGAGTCACTCTT